TAAAATAAGACAACTTCAAATTGCTTTAGTCTAGACTGAAATGTTCAGAATCACAAACTAGCCCTCGAAATTAGTCAAAAATGGATAATCTAAATCAGGGTAGAAAAACAATTTCGAGCACAGAATTCAAGCCAGAATTGGTGTTGAGCAGTTGTGTGAAACTCCTTTGCCAATTTATGCTATTATTTCCAAACTCTTCGGTCATGAAATGAACTTTAGAAAAGCCGACTAAACTAGCTTGCTATTGAGGCATACTTGTGTTACAGTTGTAGTACTAGGCCACATTCGAGAAACCCTTACTCTCGGGAAAAAAGTGTATTTGAACCAAAAAATGGCCTATTAAATATCATATTGCTTTTGCTAAGTTTAACTTTGTATTTTACTTCCCTTGGATAAAAAGAAGCCGCTTGTCCCTGCCAAAACTTTATTGCCCAATCTCAATTTCACTTGGGCGACACTCAAAGAAAGACAGACAAGAGGCAAGTACTTACGTTCAGAATAAGGTGTTATGCACGGTTCCATATTCACACCCCAAACAGCGTCTGGATCGTCAACAGACCGACAGAGTGGCGGTTGAGTAGCAGGAGGTCTTTCCATGTAACAATCATTGTTTAGAGGCTTTTGCCAAATGACAGTTTGGTTCCTTTTAGCTGCAATTCTCCAGCACATGCGTTCCACAAGTGCACTCATCTCTCTCCATATTCTTAAATCTTCTTCATCCTGTGCATATGCTTCAGGGGATGAGTACGCAAAATAGCCTCCGGGCCTAAGTACCCTATCGAGCTCAAGGAGGAGGATACCATCCCGTTGAAGCCAATCAATCCTACAACGAGAACAGTGAGCAAATTCAAATGACCTGCTTGGATACGGAAGCCTTTTTGTTCCGAGGACACCAAGATATGCGGGAATTCCTCTCTCTAAGGCAAACTGGATTTGATTCTGATGCACATCATTTGGTGCCAATGACATTGCTATGATATCAGAGGATAGAAGATAACCACCAAAGCTGGCCACACCACAACCCACATCAAAGACTGTGCGGATCCTTCCCTCATTGTTCAAGTTATCGTTTGAAAAGTTCAGCATCTGCAGTTTATCATTTCATAATGGCTAATTACTTAGTTCTTTTTCGACATTTCTGCAAAGATCTGAGAAAGAGAGAAGAAGTCCTTACATTTGCAATCGAGGCAATGTACTTATCCGCTCCATAGTGAAAGTGAGTGCCCCCACCAGGAAATATTATCTTTTCACCCTTAACAACCATCCAATTCTGGTCAGATTTCTCATGTGCAAGGTGCGTATGCGGAATGTTCACTTTCCAAACCTCATCTCTACTTCTTGGCCACTTAATTGGCACCTATAATAAAGGAAAAATAACTACTTGTAAAACTGGAAATATGTCTAGGTTAACTTCACTACAGCACTTCAGCATATTCACCTTGTATCCAGGAGGAGGAGGAATCAGACAATTGAAACGCCTTTCAGGCAACGGGCAATGTCTTTCATAGTGCTCCATCAATGACAAATCCAACTTTAATCTCATTTGATATATGAGATGTCTGTCGAGACACGGAATCAATTCTGAATGGCGATCATCACAAACCTTCAAATTCAAAGCACAACACAAGATTAAGAAGGCAAACAAAGGAAACAACCAAAATGCAGCAAGTCATCCTTTCCTCCAATTAGCCTACATATCGGGCCGTGAAATGAAAAAAGACGACTTACGGGGAAGCTCTTAGGGATGATGCCATCATCACCATCTTCCAGCGCAAACTTCTCATCTTGCCTGCTGAGATCAGAGTTGTCATCCCCGCCCAAATAAGATGATCCCAATTTCCTCAAAGAACGGCTGCCGTACTCAAGAGCAGACTCACCACTGCTCTTGGATCCGAAATACATGTACAGGAAAACAACCAAGACTGCCCCAATACCTACAGAAGTCCACAAGCGCTTCTTCTGCGCTCCATCTGATCTCCCTCGCATCATTTGGGTAGTTTGTTGACTGTGGGATAAAACTTAACTTTTTTCTTTTCTACTTCAGCTCTTTGAAATCATAATTGCCTAGACAGGGAACCAATTTGAACCAAGTTTCCAAATTTAGGAGATTGAACAATTTAGACTCTTATGAAAAATGGATCTATAACATTGAGGAAGCAACCTGTGATATCAAATGCATGAACCATCAGAACTAATCAAGTAGTGTAGGCCCAAAAAAAAAAAGTTCAAATCAAGCAGAAAATTGCATAACACATTAAGCTTTGCAGCAGTCTTAGAAAGCTAGTGGAACACATTTTAGCACCACTCCTTCAAAATGCCAACTTTGAAAACAAAATCTGTATTACGAGGATTCCTCATGAGTTGGCAAGTTGCGAGTTTTATGGGGGTTGTCGGCCTACCGCAACCCTCGAACTTTATCTGAGCTTGTGACCGGCAATGTGAGCAAGCTCACACGGGTTCAAAATCAATGTACTAATAAGACTAAATCCTATTAATATTATTATTATTACTATTACTATATATATAATAATAATTTTGGAAATTTTCACAAGCTAAAGTAATAGGGTCCATAAACTCAAATATCAATCTTAGAAGTTCTGAAATTCAAGCTTTTTTAGTTGCCATTGCATTGTTAAAGAAAGCAGAAAAGTTTTCTTTCTCTCTTTTATAACCGTTGTGGTTGGGCGAGCTTGCGGGCACCTCGACTAATTCCATGGGATAACTGCTGCCTCCCACCAACAAAAGAGAACAACAATGCTTCATTCACTGCATAACTACTTCCAGATTCGATTCGAGTGTGAATCACTTAGTTTTTGCATAACTATGTGTGTAATCAATCATAAGCTATTTTATGAACCAAGAGCAGATTATTACTGAAAAAAGTATATATTAACTACCGTAGCATTTACTTTCTAAGTAACACTTTTACTCAGGAATTAACCAGTATCTTCCATACTAAATGATGAATGAAAAGAAAAATTGCATTAAGATATAAAAGCAAAAGTACATCATTGCCTATGTCAAGATTAGAGCTTAGAAATATAATTATGCCAAAGTCTAAAAACAGAGCCTCTCTTTCTTCTTTTTTTAAGTAAAAACGTAAAAGGATACCTACATGAATCACTTAAACATAATATGAAACACAGATCTGAATGTGGAATCATATACTGAAGAATTTATGATTCACAAAGAGAGATCACCCAAAAAAAAAAATTGCATAAATGGGGAATAATTAACTACAGAAAAAAAAAAAAAGGACACCCTTTTAAGTGCTTGAGTTCTT